CGTGTGTATACGTGTGTGTGTGTATACGTGTGTATACGTGTGTGTGTATACGTGTATATACGTGTGTGTGTGTATACGTGTATATACGTGTGTGTGTGTATACGTGTGTATATACGTGTGTGTATATACGTGTGTATATACGTGTATATATACGTGTGTATATACGTGTGTGTATATATACGTGTGTATATACGTGTGTGTATATATACGTGTGTATATACGTGTATATACGTGTGTGTATATACGTATATATACGTGTATATACGTGTGTGTATATACGTATATATACGTGTATATACGTGTGTGTATGTGTGTATATACGTATATATACGTGTATATACGTGTGTGTATGTGTGTATATACGTGTGTGTATATACGTGTGTGTATACGTGTATATACGTGTGTGTATATACGTGTGTGTATACGTGTATATACGTGTGTGTGTATACGTGTGTGTATATACGTGTGTGTATACGTGTATATACGTGTGTGTATATACGTGTGTGTATATACGTGTGTGTATATACGTGTGTGTATACGTGTATATACGTGTGTGTATATACGTGTGTGTATACGTGTATATACGTGTGTATGCGTGTATATACGTGTGTATACGTGTGTGTATATACGTGTGTATACGTGTGTGTATATACGTGTGTATACGTGTGTATATACGTGTGTATACGTGTGTGTATATACGTGTGTATACGTGTGTGTATATACGTGTGTATACGTGTGTGTATATACGTGTGTATACGTGTGTGTATATACGTGTGTGTATATACGTGTGTATACGTGTGTGTATACGTGTGTATACGTGTGTATATACGTGTGTATACGTGTGTGTGTATATACGTGTGTGTGTATATACGTGTGTGTATATACGTATATATACGTGTGTGTGTGTATATACGTATATATACGTGTGTGTGTGTATATACGTATATATACGTGTGTGTGTATATATACGTGTGTGTGTATATACGTATATATACGTGTGTGTGTATACGTGTGTGTGTATATACGTATATATACGTGTGTGTGTATATACGTGTGTGTGTGTATATACGTATATATACGTGTGTGTGCGTGTGTGTGTATATACGTGTGTGTGTGTATATACGTGTGTGTGTATATATACGTGTGTGTGTGTATATATACGTGTGTGTGTGTGTATATACGTGTGTGTGTGTGTATATACGTGTGTGTGTGTGTATATACGTGTGTATATACGTGTGTATATATACGTGTGTATATATACGTGTGTATATATACGTGTATATACACGTGTGTGTGTGTATATATAAGTGTATATACGTGTGTATATATATATATATATATATATATATATATATATATAAAATTAATTAATTGTGTCTCTTTGCATTCCTTTGTTCTCAAGGAGCTGAAAAATGCAGACATAGCAATACGTACACAAAAGACTCCCCCTGGACTTCAGCATGAGAACACTGCTCCATCTGAGTAAGTAAGCCACCAGAAAGTAGTCCTGAAGCAAATCAAAGAGGGATGTACAGTAGTGTCAGCTTCTTGGCATGTGAATGTAATATGCCCCTCCTGGCTAATATATCAGGTGTTTTCTATATATGTAACGGCTTCATTCGCCTTCATGGATTCAACAGCGATTCATTATTTTAATTGTTTTCTGTGTTTAGTTATTTCCGTAGCCTGGTGGAGCAGTTTGAGGTGCAGTTGCAGCAGTACCGGCAGCAGATAGAAGAACTGGAGAACCACCTGACCACGCAGAGCAGCGGCTCCCACATCACTCCTCAGGGTAAGAGGACTATTGTCTGACTTGTCTAGGAGAAAGTAAAATGTGTCTGTCATTTCCAGGTTTTAAATCGGCATTGACTAATATATTTTGTATTAACATTAAAGCTGATGACGGTGTAATGTGAAATCGGCACAAACGGCAAATTCCTGATCTGCTTAGAACCAAGTTAAACACGCACATTAACGTGGAAATATAAAGACTTTGTTTGTCATGTCTGGCTCTTCCTAACCATTTTCTGTCCGACCCTTATTTCTTCATTGACTCACCTTAACTGTGCACTGAGATTATAATGTTGTGTATGGTTGTTTCAGACCTGACTTTGGCGATGCAGAAGTTGTACCAGACGTTTGTAGCACAGGCTGCCCAGCTCCAGTCTGTTAATGAGAATGTCAAGGTCAGTTCTTTCCCAAAAATTATGTCCACATTGTCCAGATTCTCAGCAAATTCTACTTCAAATGTGTACACCATCTTAATCCTACCCTTCTTTTCTTTTACCCTTTGTTTGTATCTGATATCATAGATCTTGAAGCACCAGTACCTTTCCTACCGCCGGGCCTTCCTGGAAGACTCGACGGATGTCTTTGAATCCAAGCGGGCATCTAACAGGAAGTGGCGGAGTACTCCGCGGGTCACCACTGGGCCCGCCCCCTTCTCCAGTGTGCCCAACGCTGCAGCGGTTGCAATGGCAGCCACGTTGACCCAGCAACAGCAGCCAACTCCAGGTCTGACTGCCTACAAGTTCTAGAAAGTTTTCCTCATCTCACCTTAAAGTACAGGAGGGAGAGAGAGGACAAGATGAGTGTTTTTTTTTAAAGGATGGGAGTGGAAAGGTCAAAAGGGGATGGAGGAGGATTGGAAACAATTAAAACAACAAAAGCCTTCGCTGGCCCCGAGCTATCGTGGCTATACTTTCTCTGATGAAAGAAACGCCGAGAGAAACGCACAGACGAGATACATTTGTTACTTAACTCCGACAGGAAACCTTTGTACTGCCTTACCATCTTGTTATACTTGCACTTAAACAAAAAAGAAGAAACTTAAAACCTACAAATGTCATACAAACCCTTTCAGTAATGCCAAGGACATAATAACTTACTTTACCTAGTGTCTCTCTTTGGCCTCTCTAATAGTACATTAGGGCAGCTATATGGGGCTGACTTAGTGAAGCAATTATATAACGGGAGAAAAAGTCCATCTCTATTTTACTCACTTGAATCTTGAAGTTATGATTCGAGTTTTATTTAATGAATGCTTGAATTGAAGGTGGTTGTGTGAGGGGGTAAGACGCGTTAGACACTTGCTCTGCGATTAGGTCATTCAGATCTCTGCTGTTGTAGTTTGTTTTGTTTAAGATTGTGTCTGGTTGGTCCATAAGGTGTAAATTCATTATAAAGTAGCTCCTACTCTCTTCAGTCTAAGTGTCGAGAGCTCCCATCGATCACATGGCATGAGCTTACTTTACTGAATATACAGGACTCATTTTTATCAGCGTTGTTCATTGAAGCATCGCGTTACTCTGGTTCGGGGTCTTACCAATATTAGGCCCAGTTTAAGCCAGGACCCACATTTATAAGCAGCCGTACACTTCAGTAGTTAAACTAAAGGCCTACATCTACTCTTATTCAAAACAGCAAGTCCTATTTATTAATAGGAAATAAATGTACGGTATATTCCTTAAATGTTCACATGATAAATTATTTCCATCATCTGCCAGTAAAAACAAATATATTTATAAAGATTATCCAACACAGTATTATTATCCAGCATATGCAGACAGGTGAAGACTGATGTTTTTATTTCACATACTGCCTACTCACAGATTGGCATCAAAGGTGTGTTGGGTTGTTAAATAAGCCAGCACACTAATGCTATAAAACCGAATGAAGCAAGTCCTATTGTTTCAGTCATGTTAGCGCTCCATGGCACACAAATTCACTTTTCATGACTGTAGGAGTAGTGTCTGTAATGGTTGTTGCCACATCTCTGAGGTGTTAAACAAAATGTCAGCCTATTCTGTAGGCTTTGGTTTGTAGGCTGTTTTACTGGCATATCAGGGCACTCACTTGCTATGAGCTAACTAAGCTACTATGTATATTAGCATGTCTGCGTGTAGAAAAAATATAATTTAAACATTTGAGAGCAACATTTTAATTGGATGGGGCTGCAATGGCAGCATGCTTTTAAATTCCTCACATCATTTAAATTTTTTATCTGCACAATTCTACTTGGACTGCCATCAGATCCAAGACTCACCAGTCATTACCCAGACACTTTTCAGTGTCGTAATATTTGAACATTCACATGCCGTTGCTCTCTTAGCAGGACACGCAGTAGCTATTCTGAATTAGCGTCTAGCTAATTTACATACGTGCCAAGTCGGGATGGGAATAATTTACCATCAATTGCTTAACCCCAATTTGCAAAGAAGAGCCCCTCATGAACAAGTCCTATTGCCACAGTAGATTATATCCCCCCCGTGTGGTAGACACTACCGTGGTGCCTGCTGAAGATACTTTTTTCTGTATTGCTTTTTATATTTTATTTCATACAAAGCCAAATCCATCTCTGGTCATCTGTTTGATCATTTGTTTATTGTCGCACTGTGTTTTCTGGGTATGCGAGCTGTTTAAAAAGGCTGCATTGCACTGTAATTTATTTCAAACTCATAACAAATGTTAACCCCAGAGTTGGGTATCGGTTACAAGATTGACTTTTCACTGTCTATTCCTATACCCCTATTGCCAAATAGTGGTTAATAACTAGTATTTGACTCGGTCATTTCATTGACTAAGCCTAATCACAAATGATTGTCAGTCTCTCCAGTATTTATTGACCTATTTATTTCTGTTGTATTTTAGTTCATGCGTGCAACTCTTTGTGTAATTGGAATGGTATAGTGGCAGCTGGCCAGTAGCCAGCACTTAAAACACTAACCATGCAGCTGGATATACTTTGGGGGCGTAGATCAAATGTTTGGGCCAAAAGCTCAATCAGATTTGTGCCACGAAAGGTGCCAAAAGACTCGGGACTGAAAATATAGACTATTTAATAACCCGAACTGTAGTTTAAGCGAAGATATTGTCTTTCCTTTAGTGCTTTTGCTCTGTCTTAGAATGGAAGTGAGGCTCATGGCCTTCTGAAATGGCCCCGGTCTTTGTCACTTATTGCTGGCCTTAATGAATCGGTGTGAACAAATAGCTTAAGTCTATTGATGTTGAAGGTTCATTTTCAATAGCTAACAGTGGCAAACATAGTCGGCATTACCTCACAGTTCAATACTACATCTGGTTGGTTCGGTTGTCTGAGGCCACACCACTGTTACTTGATTTAAGCTAGATCACCTAAGGGCTACTGATCGGAGTAAAGGTAACAAGTCATTTCAGGTATTTTATCCAAGGCGCTGGTACTTTGTACGGACTTCTCTTTCTTGAGAAACTTTTGTAGAAGTGGTTGAATCCAGTTTGTTTGGTGGCTCAGAAAGAAGAGTAATGGTTTCTGCTGCTCACACTGGTCCTTCAGCACCAGTAAAATACATTGTTGCCAAACAAGACCCAGACAGACTGTGGTCAGGCTGTTTGTCTACATCTCTGTATTGCTTGGGTTGTGATTTCCCAGAGTTTTATGATGAAAGGTCTTTGAGTTGTATTGATTGAGATACTGGTGAGAATAGTTTTGTGTTCCGATTATAAACTGGTGAGTTCGCTCTCCAGCACTGATCTGTATATTGATGCTCGACACAGTGGTGCTCGGTGAACCCAACCTAACTCCAGTCCTCTGTTAAACAACATTTTGTAGGATTGAGATTCTGTTGGCCAGATTCCCCGAGTTGTCCAGAATTTTGACTTTTGTGTTGTTTAGCTTACTCTTTACCTTTTTAGACTTCCAAATCTCTACAGATGCACTTGGCACAGTAATGACGTTTGGGTTATGTAATACTTATTGATTTGTCGAAGCTGTTTGGACCTAGAAGGTGATGGTGGCTATTAAGCCAGCGTGTTGGGTATCTGCTCAATATCTGTCAGTAATGTGTGTGCAAATGCTGACTGCTGTATTTCCTTGAATGTTAGTGAAGGAATCAAAATGTGAATTTTGTATTTTTTTTGGCGTATGATTGACACAGTACAAGCGCCAAAATTTGCCTCCAGTGCTCAACTCAATGTGAGTTATTCTGAAACTCGACAATGTTTCAGAGTTGTGTATATGGTATCTTATTCTGTGATGTTGAGCTTCAGCACAGCAGTTCTCTAAAATGTTGGAAATCAGCTGTTGGCTGTCAGACTGTTTTGAATGTTTTTATTCTCTTTATTATTTCCGTGTGACCATTCATCATTTGCTTACATTTTGCCTTTTTTAGTAGTGGTTTATGTGGCTTGCAGGAGGTACGGTTGTGTTTTGGGGGATCTTTGTGATCTCTGAAAAGCGCTACATTTGCTAATGTTCATGTGAAAACTAGACTGAATCTCTCTACAATGTGTTAAACAGTCACGTAGGTCAGACTTGATCCAGCAAAGAAAGGTGTTTGTAGCCTGTGGTCATGTGTTGACTTATTCCAAGGTGCAGCGTTTGTTTAGTAAACAACCACCAAAAACATGGCTGTTATTATTTCTAAGAATACATTGGTGAAAAGGGTTTCAACACAAACCACGGAAGGTTATTCGGGATGGCCCAAAATGTGACCCCCATTGACTGCCACAGGCGGACTGTACCATGTCACTGAGTTTCCTTTCTTTTGACCCGTTCACACTGAGGCAGCCGTAGATGCCAAATTTACCTTTCTTATCTAAATCTCGAGTGCTTTTACTTGCAGATGAATGTTTAAACCTATATAACCAATGCCTGTTGATACAGTATATCTAATATATAATATGGTGTGCCTTTTTTAAGCTATACTCAATAATTGTGTTTTTTGGCGTATGCTAGTTCATTCACTCTCAGAAATCTTAACAAATTTGGAAACTTGTCAAATGCAGTAGCAGTTAGCAATTAACGATCAATTCTGTTCTAAACTGTTTGTTTGTGTTTCATGTAAGTGGAATTGCATATTTGACAATAAATCAATTTTTAAACAAAGAAACGTTTGTCCTTGTTTCTTTTTGACTGAAGTTGTTTTAACAATGCAGACCAATTGGAAACATTACCAAATTGTATTACTTAAAAGAAAAAAAAATTGCATAGAAGTAAAAAAAAAAAAAAAAAAAAAAAAAGACAAGTTTCTGAGTGAAAGAACTAGCAGCATTTCTCCACAGTTTGTCGGCAGCGTGAACACAAATACTACTATGTTAAATTGCTTTTGTACAATCTATTGCAGACGTTCCGTATTTTTACAGATGCATTTAAAAACTATTGTATTGGAAACCTACATATCTATAATTATTATTTTTACCACGCACACAAAATGCATTAAGAGGAGTAAAGCCTATGCTCTCTCTGTGCCTTAGGGACCCAGGCACCCTTGGGGGCAGGGTTTGGAAACCCCTTTGCCTCGGCAGTGGGCACTAGCTTGGGCTCTTCTACCCTTGGAGGTATTACCTCTGCCTTTTTTTAAATGAGTATTCCCTTTTGTTTCGCCCTTCCCTTGAACACTTTACCATTTCCTACATGCCTCCTAGCTCTTGCCAAGCAGCCTTTCTGTTTGAGGTGTTTGTGTTCTCCTGTGTGAACGGTAGGCAGCGTGTGTGTGTCTGAGAGAGCGGTGCAGTTGAAGCTTGGCAGTGTTTTTCCTGTTCTTCCTTGTGCAAGAGTTGAAGTGCGTTCACACCACAAGTAAACTGAGCAGCCACAGGTCACTGTGCCTTTTCACGTGACCGTTCTTTTTCCTTATGAGGAGATATGTGGTCAAAGAAATTCCCCGAACTGTTTTAATACAACAATGCTCTACCTTTGGATGTCAGCTGGCAAATCTTCTTGGCCACAACAGCCAGTTAAGAGTAACTTGGCAGCGTGGTAACAAGTGGTCTGAACGCACACCATGTTGGTGTCATAGTTGGTGTATTTGTTAAAAACGTTCATGTTATTTTCTTCCCTGTGGTCTTTGCTTTGCAGTGTACTGTGAGTACTGTTTTGTTCTCCAGTCAGAAGTAAAGCTGTGTGTAGGGCTCTGGTGATTAGGTTGTGGCATTTGTTTTGGGTAATTCTGTATCAAATCAGATAGAGGTTTTTGTTAAAATTTTAGCTTTTTGTTCAAACT